GTGACGTGCGTTCTTTTCGGCTCATTAAAGATTAATCTTGCAGCGCCCTTTTGGATTAATTGTAGAGGTTTGTTAGAAGTGGCTGGAAGACCTACCAAGAGAGCATTGCAATAGTGCAGCCTGGATAGAACAAGAGCTTGAACAAGGAGTTGTGTTTTTTGATCCACGTCTCTGTCAGGGCCATGAGGTTTAGTCTTGAATAACTAGTAATAGAAGTAATAAAATCTGCTTTGTTTACAGCAGACTGGCAATTCCAGAGACCAATAGAAAAAGAAAGTAGTGTATTAGTAGGCATAGGCAAAGTGCGCAGGTTGTTAGGATTGTGATTAATATAATATAATATAATATAATATAATATAATATAATTAAGGTTAAGGTTAAATTATTTATGCAACTTTTTAATGTTAACATTTTATTAGTATGCAGAAATTAATATTAACCAAGATTAAAAATGGTGTAGAAGTATTGATTTTTATTGCAGTAGCTAAAGTTAACATATATAACTGTAAAGTGTTAACATTATCAACCACATTATTCTGTATTAGGTTACTAATAAGACATTTTTTCCAAACTAAAACTACTACCCAAAACAGCTGAAATAACAATTGCAGTTTTAATATCTGAAATGGTTCTTTCTAACAATTTTGTTCCCTGAAGACTCACAGGTGTGATTTTGCCCCATTTCATCTAAGATACAGATTTAGCTGAAGCACTGGCTGCTGAGACACTACAGCTATAGTTACTATGGCAACTGGGAGCAGAAATGTGTTCATATTTTTTTATATTATACACATGAGGGCAGAGCAGTCTGCAGGCAACAATCTGCCACATTGGATGTCCGACATGTTCAACATTGGCAATGTTTATTGTCCCTGACTACAGAGAACCCGCTGCATTGTACATCTCTCTTTTTCTGTGTATGGATTCTCAACAATACAACATTTATTTCATTTGACAGATACTTTTATCTAAAGTGACTTACAGTGCATTCAGGTTATGTTTTATCAATATCTGTTGTTCCCTGGGAACTGAACCCATGACCTTGTCATTGCTAATACTCTACCATTCGAGCTCCAGGAACTCTAAGGTCTCAAACAAACAGAAAACACAGGTTGCTCCTGAAACAATAACATATTTTCTCATCAGCACTTGCAGCAGATAGCAGATTTCATGGAGGCGTAACACAACAACACAATATAATGTAACAGATTCTCCACCCTAGCACACACTTGAAAGTTTGCCATCAACACTAAATGTTGAATACAGGAGCACTAATCAGCAACTGAGAAACATAATGTGGAAGATAAGAAAGAACACATCACTATGATAATATACTAAAAGTAAAAGAACTTCACTGGTAAATTACACAACACAGTAACACCACTATATGATGAGAAGATAACATTGTCAATGTTGTTAAATAAGTAAAAATAAGTAAAGGGGAGGGAAGTAACTGCAATGCCAAAGAAACTATAAAGGCAACGAAAAAACAGGTCTGCAAGCTCTGCAGTTGTAAATTTGACTTAAGTTTTAATGTCACTTAAAGCCATTAAACATTACATTTAACAGGTAAGTAGTTTTTGAGTGTATTTTGAATTATTCATATTTATAACAATATATTAATCAGTTTCATAAGTATACACTGTATGAGTGAACATTAACTACAGATTTGTAGCATTATTAAATGCAATGAAGTTATACATGCTAATAATAAATTAAAAACCTGCATAAAAACCTACAGGACAAACTGTGTCTTTGAACCATCAATATAACTTTACAAATTATATTTACAACTATTTGTACAACTTGGAATAAAGAATTGGTTGGCTACTTTGTACTATTGACAAACAGAATCATTTCTGTAGTGTAGATGCTCCTAACCATGAGGCCGGGGCCCACTATAGCAAATTTTCAATGGGGGCGCAGTTGTTGTTGTACAGTATTTAAATTTATGTCCAAATCAGCTTTACATGCTATTACATGGCAGATACAAATTCAACATTCAACAATATAATACAATAAATATAAGTATAATAAATACAAATATTTAAAAGAAATGCATACAAAAATAAAACATTAATGAGGAAAAAAAAGACAAAAAAAGTCTGTATATGCAACTCTATAAAAGATTCTTTGAATGTACTTGTGTTGTGATAAAATCTGTATAAGTGTCCATCTTACAAAATAGATCCATCAAAGTCTGCCCTGATAAAAATGGTTGTTTCATGAAATTAAAATTTGGGCAAACTAAAAACATATACAGACAAGTTGCAAAAACTGCTACAAAACTGACAATTTGGTGCTTCTTCACTCTTCAGTAAATGTCATGATAGTATCCAATAGGGCCACAGGATGATTATTGTTGTTGTCATTACATTAAAATAATCTTACTTAATTGGGGAGATAAAAAAAAAAACACAACAACTTTTCTCAGAAATCTAAATGGAGGAAATATCTTATATAGGTGAACTTCGAATATTGTGTTGGACAATGGGGGCCCCTCAAGTCAACAATGTTGAGAACCACTGCTGTAGAATGTGTAATGACCTTTAAAAAGGTTAATAATAAGACTCTGTCTTTGCTTTAAAAATATACAAGGTACAGTCATATGTGCCACACTATGCTTTGGGATCAGTAAATGAACTAAAAAAATGTGATGAACTGTTATAGGTGTGTGTGACTGTGAACCAATAGAAACATCCATTATTTAATATGTGGTGCTGGCAAAGAGTAAATGTAAAAGTATTAATATTACTGTAATGCATCAGGGACGTTGAGACCCCAGAAATATAATTGTCCTTCACTGCAGCTTCCATCAAACATTGCCAGATAATAATAAATAACCAGTTAGCAAATCAATTTCAGTTTTAAATGTAACTTTAATTGGATGTAAATTTAATATTGCCTATATTGATGCTAATCACTCATCACAATTTACCCATAATCTTAAAATGTAACACACTTACATAAACATGTACTTTGGACTCCCAGCACTTTCCACAATGCCAATGTAAAAGTGCAACTACTGTAACACATAAACACAGGTGCTTTCCAAAGTCAAGGTAGTCCCTCCAGGCCTTAACATCAGCCACGTAAACAAACACAGAAGACTGGTTCCTTCCAAAGCCCCCCCAAAAAACAAAACAAACAAAAAAGCCCTCTAGAACTACAAATAAGCACATATCAACAGAAGCACAATGCAGAACAGCATCAGGGAGTATATTGCTTTAAGCTGTCTATCCGTTATAGTATTGCTGAGATTCTCACTCTTTTGAAAAAGATGTAACCTCTCTCTCATTTTTGTAATGGCTGTTTTAATAATACGACAGTGCATGTATAACTATCAGAGCATATTTCTGAATACCGACGAGCCACCACATAAACATCTATTATTCCATCCTCCAGTTTGCATAGGGCATTAAATAGATCAGTATCTTTACAGCAAAATGGTATCATAACATCCGACAAAGAGCATCCTGCATATGCACGCTGTTTTAGATGTAATGGCGCCATGCATCATATTGACAGTGTGGTACCCAGCTGGGTAACGTTAGAGGCAGACGACCCCCCGCGACGCAACTCCATCCCTGTTGATGCTGTTTTCATTTGCGCTTGATGCTCTAAACAGATACAGTTCAACTCACCTGTCAATGAAAATATGCCACTGTCCTCGACCCCGCTGTTGAGATGCACGCGCCGGTCAACGCGAAGCTTATGTCGCTGTACTGCAGCACGACCTTAAGGACACACAAAATCCAATTTGAAAGGATTCACTCGCATCCACTGGGCAATCTAAGCCTATTTGAGTTATTCCGCTCAGCACATTGCCGTCGTAGTCGCTAGCGGCGTGTTTTGAGCAGGTATGATGAGAAACAGTGAGGGCAGTCCTGTGTGAAGAGACGATGTTATCGGATGCTGGAGATGCGGGTCATTTGCCAACAGCTGGGCATCGACATCAGGAAGTGTTCTACCCATACCGTTTGATGGACAGATGATTTGACCAATCGCGTGGCGTCTGGGCAGACGCCAGGTTCCGCCCTTATAATTGAATGACCAATCATTAATTAGGCCAATACTGTCGCGCGCATATGTCGCCCTGTTTTGTATAGCCTACGCAGCGTTGGAAATGTGTGTGGAAAGGGGTGCAGGGTAACAGGTTTGTTTAATTTTGATATTCCTTTTGAAGAAATGTAGTGTTCATTTTTCGTTTTTGAAGAAACTGAGGTATTTGTATTATTTTTTTTTTTTTAAAGATTTTGTTGTAAGACGTTTTGCTATTATTATTTATTGGGTATATTTATATAATTCGTTTGCTGATTTTAGGCCTATGATAATTTAGCAGAGAGTGGCATGTATTTTGTATATGTATTAGCACAAATAAAGCTTATAATTCTTATAAAAGCTTATAATTCAGTGTCCATAGATAGGCTACTATTATATTTGTATTCGTTTTTTATACTAATTTATTTCAGCCAGTCAGTTATTTATACAAGTAACCAATTTTGTCATGGTTATCGTTTTCGTTAACTATAATGATCCTTTGTTTTGTGATGCTACAACCCTCCTAAATGTAAATATATTGAAATTTTGTTTAATTTTTGTATGTGATAATGAATACAGTTAGGGCACTGCTTTTCACTTGAACTGTATATTTATTTTCAGGTAAAGCAAAACATTTTAATGATTTTTCATCTACTGTATAAAAAGTGACAGATTCAGACTTTGATTTAGGTCTATGGTCCTGCTTGAAAAGTCACGTTAAAGCAGTTTATAGGACATGGTATTATTTGTTACTGGTCCAAAATGGTTTGCCAGCTCTAACCAGCTTGATCAAAGTCCACCAGGTCAATGTTGGCCCCACCAGCTGCTAGTCCATCTGACAAATCATCATCTAGATCTAGATCCCATTTCAGTTCCATCATGATACATTTTTGACTGATATATTTAGATGGGTCATTATTAATGTAGTGATTATTATTATTAATTTGCAAAATACATAAATTTATTTCAATAATAAAAAAAAAAAGAAAACTTTGAAATAAAAATTAATTAAAAAATATAAATAAGGAAGTTTATTTAAAATTAATATGCATAAGTCCTGCTCAAAGGCTTATAAAATGTAAACTGTAGTTGCAATACTTCTGCATATTACTGCTATTTTAATTGACAGGAATTCATTTGCTGTACATGTGCTCCATCTAGTGGACATCCGCATTAATGTACAAACAAATTTCAATGCACATTTTGTATGCGTGAATGAGTAAAGCAAAGATATCCAGACATTTTGCCAAATCAGCATCTTTATTGTACAAACAAATGCATTTTTTATCTATTGACATTTCTTTGTATCATAAAAAAGCAATATACAAGCTTTAAGAACGAAAATGAAAAGCAGCACAGAATGATTATGAGTAAAATATATAATTTGAATAAATATAATTTTATATTTCATGCTATAAAATAAAATTAATAAATGGCGAGTTAATTGTTACAGCATCGGCGTCAGCTAGCTGCATGTACTTCATAGTTGTATAAAACAGTAGATTTCTGAGGTTCACAGTTGGGTTGTGAGGTTGTATGTATATGGAAGACAGAAGGTTGGACAGAGTGCTACTTATACGATAAGACCTAAAGATCTGCTTTCCTCTGCGGTGAAACTCCCATGCATTCGGGAAGAGCAAGAACGGAAACATTTAGGTGCGTCTTACCACACCTATGAGGCAGACTGTTTTGGGAACCAATGACTGAGGAATTGTTTCCCCACCTGAAGTAAAAGTGCAAGCTTAGTTTTGGACGCACAAAGATCATAGCGCATCCAAAATGGCATTTTCTGAATACTAGTAAACCCTGAGTTCTACTTTTTACTTTTTGCAATGTCCCAAAAACACAAGAGAACAAGAGTCTGACAGAGCTTGCATTAAAGGAATAGTCATCCAGAAATGAAAGTCTGATGAAAATGTACTCAACCTCAGGCTATCGAAGAGGTAGAGGAGTTAACTTTATCAGAACACATTTATAGAAATGTCGCATTACCACATTTGCTCACCAAGTGGATCCTCTGCAGTGAATGGGTGCCGTCAGAATGAGAGTCCAAACAAAAACAATAAACACAATAACCCACAAGTAATCCCCATAACTCCAGTCCATCAATTAATGTCTTCTGAAGTGAAAATCTGCATGTTTTTAACTTCAAACCGTAGCTTCCAACTAAAATACAAGTCTTCGGTCCATAGCATTGCTTTCTCCAGTGAAAAAGTCATCTTGCCTGAATCAGGAGAGAAATATGCACCGATCAAACAACGTTTATAAGCCAAAACAGTTATAAACAAATATGTTGGTGGATTTTGATGTGAGAGGACAAAAGATGATGGATTTTCTTCACTGGAGGAAGACTTATTATGAATTATGGACTGGCATTTTGACCAGACCCAACAATTTAAAATTAAAACGGCTTAACAATGGCTTTGTTTGTTACAAACACACAGCTTTTCACTTCATAAGATGTTAATTGATACAAGTGCGAGTCGTGTGGATTACTTGTGGATTGTGATGGTTTTTATCAGCTGTTTGAACTATTATTCTGACGGCACCCATTCACTCCATTCATTGCTGAGCAAGTGATAAAATGCTACATTTCTTCAAATATGCTACATCTCGGATTGCCTTAGTACATTTTCAGCATATTTTCATTTTTGGGTGAACTATTCTTTTAATAATTCTGATTGGCCTGTTATATCTGCAATCTCGAAGCATGAAGAAAGAAGATCTTTAGCGTACACCATAGCGGCAGGTTACATCTCTCAAAGATCCCTTTCTTATTTGACACAGATAAAAAAAAAAGATGCACCTTTTCACCAGTGACACTGAGGTGGCAGGTCGATGAAGTACAAACAGAATGTGGACTGTGGTGACCACAAAAACAAGTAGAAGCACATCCACTCTGTAGAAGCATATTTGCCCAACCTGTCCAAGTTTTCACATAAAAGTATATCTTAAAACATGAGAAAAAAATCCTCTCCTTGCCATAAATGACCTCAGCTCCCTGACATCCTGAATGCATTCATTTTGAGACATGATCCTCCTGCAATCTGAGAGGCAGCCAGACTCCAAAGAAAGAAAGAAAAAAACGGCTCTTAAAAAGGTTATTGCTTTTGCATATTACACAGTGGAGACATGTTGGAAGTGGCGAACCAATGGAAGACTTCAAGATTTTCTTTTCTTCAATATCTCTAGGTTTAGCTCAGTGTTCATAAACTACCCGAAGTAAGTCAACAGTTAAAAAGGACGAGCTGCACAATCAAAAAGTAGTCCAACAGCCTTCCCTGTAAACACTTCTTTTTTTATTATTGTGCATGGCACAAACTGAACTGGTTTTATATGAACAAAGCGAGTGAAATGGACCATGAGTATCTAGGTCAGTTGGCGGAGCATGACTCTATTAGTACAGTTCATTAAATCATTTACAAGTGTGTTAACCCCATATCACCGATTTAACATTTTTTTGCTTATACATTATAAAAACCAAAAAGAAACCTGACCAGTCGTAAAGCACCATTAAAGGGGAAACACATCCCAAGCGATAAAATATTTGAGGCCTTATGAGTCCCATAAATTGGGAGCATTACATGGTCAATTAATCCCTTATGGAATACATTATTTATTATTTAAAAAGAAAATCATTAAGTGCATGCCAGGTGAAATATCACATAAGAGATATAGCTATAAATGAAAATCACTTTCAAGTTTTAAGACAAAAACAAAAAAGTAATCTGTAGTTTCGTATTACAACGCGGAGGGCACCATGCAATTCTACTTGAACAATAAGTGGGCCGGCATGCATATTTCCCCCCAGACCAAACAATATACATAATACAGCGATCTGCTAACCTGAAAGCATCATCATTCTGATGAGATTATAGCCAAGCATAAATCAACTAACTTTTTTAAACGTATTTTTTAAGAGGAAGCTTCTGTACCGTGAAGCTGTTTGATTGTCCCATTTTATTATTTCAGCATATTCACTTTCTGTCGAAACTGCATAATGATTCTGACGTGAAAATCTCTGTCGCTTCAATGCATATCGATCCCCTACAAATGGGATGTTCCCCATAGAAACAAAAAGAATGATACAGAATAAAACAAATGCAACTATACAGACAGAACCCTTACTGCATGTCTCAATTACGATCTAACAGGCATATTGCTTTTGCATTTTACCATTAGTTCAATATTTTTACGAAAGACCAGGCTGATACATTGATACATCCAAAAATAACAAACATTTCTGCCTTCTTTGAAGGAACCCCTCATCTCATTCCCATAATCTTGCATGGCAACACAAAAAAAATGTATAATAAAATAAAATAAAATAAAACCTGCGGTGTGATTCACATACACTTCAATTCAAAAGTTTGGGGTCAGTAAAATTGTTTAAATGTTTTTAAAAGTCTCACAGCAAAACAGTAATATTGTGAAATATTATTATAATTTAAAATAAATATTTTAATTTATTTCTGTGATGGCAAAGCTGAATTTTTAGCAGCCATTACTCCAGTCTTCAGTGCCACATTACCTGAAACATTTCTTCTTATTAATGTTGAAAACATTAATGTTTTGCTGCTCAGGATTTTTATGGAAACCATATTTTTCTTTGATAAATAGACAGTTTAAAAGAACAACATGTATTTGAAATACAAATCTTTTTTAACATTATAAATGTCTTTAGTATCACTTTTGATAAATTGAATGAAATATTTCTGAATAAAAATATAAATTTCTTAAAAAAAACAAAAACAAATCTTGCTGACCTCAAACAGTAGTGAAGCCTATGTTTCACATCAAGGCACCGGTTCAATCAACTTCCTTGACAAATAAAAATAAAAAAGTCTGTATTTGTACCATCACTCTTTAAAGACCACAGAACAACATCCACAATCTGTTCATCAAATACTAAAGCTTACAGCTTCATTCATTGTAAAACAGTATCTCAGCAAAACCTACCTAACACCAATGTGTGAAATAAATGACAGCCAATGCTATAAAATCCCGACAGGTGTTAGAGCCAGCATGAGGCTGGGAAATGAGACGGAGAAGATCTACTGACACCTCTAAAACAGATTCATTTGTTCCAGGGCTTGGTTTTGGTCTCTCTTTTGTCCGCTGTGCAACACACTACACAAACCCTTTACAATTTTTGGTTTGCTCTTTGGTTAGTGGCCAAAGTCATGTTCACATTATCTAAGATAAACTGGAACATTACGATAAAGGAACAGGGCAAATCTAAACATGTTCAGGGAACAAAGCAGTCCGGCTTACAATGTTTCAAATGGCATACATGGCATCTCATGTCACAGAACGACACCAAACATGCTGTCAGTAGTACAAGGTGTTCTGCATTCAGAGTTTTGGCTCTTGATAACTGTAGTTATCACATTGGCTCATTGTTTAAAACTGACACGAACTGATTCAAAGCTCAAGAGTCGGTTAAAAAAGGTTTCAGCTAAAGGTTCATTCCCACTCATCTGCCAGCAATACAAGCACATGAAGAGATTTTAAATGGCACAAATATAGTTCAGCATTCTAAAATGTGCACTTTTGAGTGAAACTGATTTTAAAGAAAGAGAGAGAGGAAGGGCAGAAGTCCTGAAGTTCAATTTGAAATCTCAAAATACTTTAACTGAGACAGTGATATAAATGCAGATTTAAAAAAAATGTTATAAGAGTAAACGCCACAAAAGAAAAGTACACAAACTGAAAATGAAAACAGAACAGCACCATAATGTAAGTCACTGTGTATTTTAACTTATCGTACTTTCAGAAACAACTTTTGTCCAAGGCGTGATACTGGATGCGGTTCACAGATTTAAGGAGTTGTCTTGGAAGGATAATACTGGAGTTTCTAAACAAAAGGGAACGCTGCTTACACTAACTATCCTTGGCTAATGGTTGTTAAAGTTAACTTATGGAGGGTGTGGTAAAGTAAATATCCAAATGATATGTCAGGCAAACTTGAAAGCACTTGAATCTTGTAAAAGTGAGGCATGTTTTAATCTGTCTGAGCATCAAGAACTATAAATCAAATATAATGCAGACAGTCAGGGAGGCAGATGCTCGACTATAGTGAGGACTATAAAATAGGAGTCGACAATATGCCATTTTACTTGTTTTGCATCTTATGTAGCCGCTTATATTACTCGTTAGAATGAATCAAATAAGACAGTGCGGTGATAAGAAATAATAAAATGTATCTACAATTGGCATGTGAGACAACAAGGAGCCTTATTCAATCACAGGTCAAGAAAACACACAAAAAAAAGTGAGGTATGACGTTTTGCACCAGTTACATAACAATGAAAATGGATGAGAAGAGATATTGTGGAGATAATAGGCATCCAGGGCTCTCTCTTCACAATACTAAATGTATAAAAGTGTCCACAACAGTGGTACTGACACTGCAGGTTTATCTTATTACTGCTCTATTGTAGTATGAAACCCTATACTATACTTCCAGCATAAACTACACCTCCATACAATTTAACATGAACAAAAGCATACCGGCAGTAAGTGAATCTTCTTCAATTATACATTTCTGCATTGAAACACAATACGTTTTGGTCTGTACATCGACAGATGCACAAGTGTGAGAAGCCAAAGAGAGCTTCTTCTCACAGCTGTCTGTTCCACACAAAGTTTTTGGAAAAAAAACTAAAGTTCTTTCGAGCCAGCTGAACACAAGAAGAGCTGTTTGAAATTTTAACCACTGATCGAGCGTGTACATTAATGCTATAAATATTTCACCAAGATGTTTATTTCCCCCTTCTTCCCATGGTGGTATGGCCCTAAGGCAATTTTCATAACTTGCATGACTCCCGCACCACTTTTAGAAACGCATCTACAAATATATTAATATATAATTTAAACTTTCATTTCAAAGGCACACCGTCCCCTCTGGTGTTTGAAAAAACTCAAACCATGAAAAACATTGTTTTTCTGAATTAAAAGCTAGATTTTGAGACAGAAAGAAAGAAAGAACTTTTGCACGAAAGCAAGTCAAAATTTGACTAAACATTTCTTAACTCAATAATATTGACTCTGCTTCTACTCTAGCACAAATCTGTGATTATACTGTTGATATTACACCTGAAACCAAATGGATGATATTACAGAAAGTGTGTAGAGTGACAGACTGTGATTTTATGAAAAATATGGCATTTAAAAAAAAATTAAAAAAAAGAGGAAGATCCTGGATCCTGAAAATACACCACAGGTACGCCTTGTACTAACAATATTCTCATAGATACACAACATGGCTGCTAAAGAAAAATGAACCAGATTAATCCAGAATTCATACAATCACTAAGGAATATTTCACTGAAGTATCAAGCCTGGGTAGAGTGGAGATCTTTTGTTGAGGGGTTTCACCGCAGCATTCATTCAAACCCTATGAAAACAAAACAAATGTGACTACTGAGAGAAGTTTCTTCCCCTCCGTTCAGGTTCTTTGCTATGAGGTAAAACCTGGCTGGAGTTGACGACAAGCTAAAAATACTGTCCATTATGAGTATATGTTGAGGTTGTATAATGAGGTATGTGTCACAAAAAGAGCCTTGCACTGGCAGATAAACCATTCCTCGTGAGTGAGTGAGTGAGTGACCTACTACAGGCCACATGTGCAAAAACAGGTCAGGTAAAAGCGTGATATGACAAGCATCTCATCTGAGCTTTCACATTATTCATTATTGCAACATGCCTATATTACTCTGTAAATATGTTGAAAAACATGGAAATATATATATATATATAGATATATATAAAAAACGTGATAAAACTCTTAGGAGGCCTTGATTAAAGAGACCTCCTCTCCGATTATTTAATTCCCCCGATTATAGGACTCCTTCCCTTTGCAGAACTCCTTAAAAACTTTCTCTCGATCTTTGTCCTGTGTAGAACTTCCAAAAAATGGACAAGTAGAAAATGCGCAAGGCAGGTTATTTCTTGTCGTTCTTTAAAAACAGCTGGGCTTAATCACGAAAAGAGTAACCCTTTATGCTTCCTTATTAGATAAGGAGGACAAACAACCAAATAAATGGAAAACTTTATTCTCAGTATCCACGCAGGGGTTTGGATGCAGGGGTTTCTTCCGGACTACACTTGCCACTTTCTTCGCTGGGGGTTTTCGTTGACAAATCATCGGGGTAAGCTGCTCCGCAGGCTGCTTCGCCCTCGGAGACATCCTCTTGCGCCGCTCTCTGGCCATCTGGTGCCTCTCCCAGCAAGTCAGTGTGATTGTTAACTTCTGTGCCAGAGGTCATGTGCTTCTTGCGCAAATGCTGGTTGAGTGTGCCTTGGAAGGGAAAGCATTTGCCGCAGATCTGGCAGTGGAAGGGTTTGTTGTCCGTGTGGCCACGGATGTGGTACTCCAGCTGGTCTTTGCGGGTGTACTTCTTGCCGCAGAACTTGCAGACGAAGGGCGTGATGCCCATGTGCAGACGCATGTGACGGTCCAGGCTGCCCTTTTGGTTGAAGGACTTGCCGCAGTAGATGCAGATGAGGCGTTCGTTGTAGGGGTTCCACTGTCCGCGGAAACTCCTCTCCCTTACGTCGTTCTCGAAGGTAGTTGCCGTTGCAGGTGGATCTCCTTCTGCGGCACCAGGCTTGAGCTGAGTTAGCAGATCGGCTGGAAGAGGCACGGGACGTTTTGGTCGGGCACGACCACCCCGGACGCTGCTGAGCAAGGAGCGAGATGGGCTAGAGGAACTCAGGCTGACGAAACAGGAGGAAGGTAGTGCAGAGTAAGTGTATCCAGCAGAGGAAAGCACAGGCCCGTATGATCCCACACTGACAGCCAACACCTGTTCACCATCCACCAGCTCTGTGTGGTAGCCGTCATCACCGGCCGACGAGCTATCGGAGTAGTTGGGCCGGTCCGTTTTCTCCAGCTTGATATGGACATCGGTTACCTGTCCATCCTTGCCGATGAGGTCTACTTGTTCGGACTCAACCTCCATGGACACCTCCTGCTCGGATATGCCGTCGCTACTCCCTCGGTCTGACTGACCCTCTTCTGCCGCTCCCTTACCTGAGCTTCGCCCCTCCCCGCAATGATTCTGACGAGAATAGTAGCGTGCTGAAATCTGGGTGGGGTTTACAAAGATATCTCCGTCTTTCACACCGTTGCGGCCAGCCCTTGAGGTGGTGCAATCGTTATCTGGATCGATCCCAGCAGGCACAGGGACGCTGATCTTAGAGTGAATACCCTCAAGAATCTGTGTGCATTTGTCAATCACAGCCTGCATTTGGAGGAAGCTGGCAGCCGTGAGGAAGCTGATGACATCACGTAGGCGCAATGACATTCGGCCAGTGTAGCAAAAGGCGAGCAGCTGCTCAAACACCTCGGGGCTCTTGATTACGGAGATGGAGAGGCCACTCATCGTGCCTAGTGCTGAATGATCGCGGAAGTACGGCGAACTGGCGGCCAAGACGACCTTGTGGGCTCGGAATGGCTGGCCCTGAATGTGCACAATGATGTCGCACAGCTTGCCCTGGAGACGGAGCTCATTGAGCTGGTTCAGGACGGTATTGCTGAACTCAGGTACATCGAACTCTATGAGGCTACCACAGTCCTCCATGACTCACTGACGTCTCTCCTGGTTTGTAGAGAACCTGAGAAAATGAAAAATAAAAATGTGTGAGGAAACACATTCATAGGTATTAAAGGTACTCTAAATGAAAGGTAGAGTATATGTAAGCACAGATGGAAATTGCTGTTTTTTTTCCACATTCATTAATATCTACAGAATTCTACACTCTTAAGTCGGGCTCAAAAAATTAATCCCAGATTTCCCCCTTCTGAGAATTGGAGAGAAAATCTTGTTGAGGACATTGGTCGGTTCCAATGTTCAGCGTGGATTATCTTGTAATCTGAGATGTTTACAGATCGAATCTTGCACCTACCTATCGGCTCGCACACAAATCAGCCCGATCATATAAAACATGTCTGATGTAGGGCTGCACGATTAATCGAATGCGATTGTCATGCGCATTTTGATAGTAATGCCGGTTCTGTAATCAGCAGGAAATCATCATCACGTGCTTTCAGATGGAGCAGAATTTACTACACATAGCCGTAGTTCACTGACAAGTTACACAAAAAAAATCGCATTATGAAATTGAAGAAATCGTTCGCGATAATGACAGCTGTTTGTATAGCTTTTCAACAGCTTCTGAACTACGGCTCTGTGAAGTAAATGCTGCTCCATCTGAAAGCATGTGAAAATACCACATTTGAAAAGTGCTTCACTGAAAGACACGCATGACAATCGCAGCTTCTGTCGAATCGTGATCTCGATTCCATTTCGATTTATCGTGCAGCCCTAGTCTGATGTTTAGGTTTTTAAATCGGGGAGATTACGGCTATGATTACATGAGTAATTTCATAATAGCCGTTGGATAGTGGAGATGGAGGAAACTGCTTGTTACAGTGTAATTTTACATTTAAGTACAGAGTAATATTAATTAACTACATGTACTTAGTATATGGTTAGGGTTAGGATTAGGGTTTGGCTTAGGGTTACTTGCATGGAATTATGCATAGTTTATTATTATAATAGTAAGTACATGTAACATGGACACCTTAAAGTGTTACCTTTTTTTTTATAAATAAGTCTCTTATGCTCAGGAAGACTGCTTTTAAAAAAAGATGTCAAATCAGGTAGTGTTGTAAAATATTTTTTATAAAACTGTTTTCTATTTGAATGCGTTTTAAAATGTAATTTCTTCTTGTGATGACAAAGCTGAATTTTCAGCAGCCATTACTCCAGTTTACAATGTGATATGATGTGATTATTCTAACATGCCATTTTGGTGTTCAAAAAACATTTCTTATTATCAATGTTGTGCTGCTTTATTTTTTGAGGGAAATATTTCAGGATTCTTTTGATAAACAGACATTTCAAAACAACAATCTATTGATCTAATATGAATCTTGTGTTACATTATACACTGTAAAAAAAATTCCGTAAAATTTACGGTAAAAAACCGGCAGCTGTGGTTGCCGGAATTTTACCGTAAGAAATACGGTAGCAACGTTTTAGGTTTTACGGTTCTAACTTAAATTTACAGTTAAATACCGTAATTTCATTAACTGATATAATGTTAATATACCAACCTATTGAAGTACTGAAATCTGTTTTGCACCTTTGTAATACACTGATAACCACCAAATGCAGATGGTGATGAGAAAGTCACATGATGAACCAAAGCCCATCACAAGCAGCTTTTAAATAATAACATATATAGAAGGTGCACACTTCCAAAAATGGTATACTACCGTAAAATTAATGTCCAATACATGTAATGTCCAATACAGTTTTTCACCGTATATAGTAGGGGAATTTACCATTAACCATTTAACAGGTTTTTACTGTAGCATTTTTACAGTCTTTTACCGTTAAATTCACGGTCATTTTTTACAGTGTACATATCTGTACTGCCAGTAATGACTAACCCCAAACTATTGAATGGTAGTGTATATGTTGGCATGGGTTTGTTTGTATCTCAGTGGGATAAATGTTTTGAATTACCAGAACATTCTGTAATAAGACACTGCATCTGACTAATTTCACAGAGATTCATAAAGCAGGCAAGTGGACATATGGCCAGTTCACTTTGGCTCTAAAGTGCACGTTTTAGTGAAGCATCTAGTGCACACTTTAACCCAATCCTTTGTGTGCCGTGTACACTGAAGCTAAAGCACTTTAAAAAACTCAATAGACATCACCCCTTTAAATGACAAAAACAGCCTATAGCCATGACTGGTCTTCAAACACACCTAAAAAAAAATCCTAGTTCATATAGTGCTCTCAAGCAAAAGTGTCATCCAGAACAAAGTCTAAAAATCAGACAAATCATCATAGAACCAATAAGGTCTTAGATGTTCATGGGTGTGTTGTTCAGAGACATCATTAGATCAAGTTGATGCACGGCCAAAAATGATGTGGGAGAAAGAGTGATCCATCATTAAGAGCATAAAAGTACTACTGCAGTCACTTAACTTGCAAGTAATATGTTGAACAGCACAGCACATTATAAAAGCTGCATTTGAAAAGAAATGGAAAAAAGCACAATTCACAAGAATCCCGTAAAGGAAAGGCTGTTCTTCTTAATCTTCCTCTTTACAATCTTCTCTCTAGGTCCTCCTATGCCTCCACCTAGGGGTGGGCGATATGTAAAAAATATAATATCACGATTTTATCACGATTCTTTGTCATGTTGGTTTTGCTATTTTGCAAGTGTCGGAGCATTACAGCCAAACTAATTTTCCTATTATTAAGACAAAGCCTTTCAAGGTAACAAAAAAAAGAATGGCATATATTTAGGCCAAAGTGGGCAAATATAAAAATATTTGTCATTATTTTATCTTTGTTATTAAAAAACAAGAACAAAGATAGATACACATTACAACTACACATAATATACAAATAAAACAAACAGTGTTTTATTTTCAGGTACAATAGGTGTATTTAGCAGGAGCATTCAAGAAATTGAATGAACAAACATAAAAATAAAACACTATATAGACTGATTCCTAAAGCAACTGTATTAAAGTTCTTCAGTCAAGAATAGTGAGTGATTTTTCTCTTTGCGTTTTGTTGTTTTAAATAAAAATTAAAAATAAAAATTGTCATCTGTCTGTCAATTCTGTCACAGTGTTTTATTTTTATACCATCATTTACTCACTCAAAAGTTGTTTTAAACCTGAATGAGTTTCTTTCTTCTGCTGAACATAAATGCTATTTTGAGGAACGTGGAAAACCAAACAGTTGCTGGTCCACAGCAACTTCCATAGGATTTTTTTTTCCTACTATCAAATTCAATGTGGACCATCAACTATTTGGTTACCCACATTCTTCAAAATATCTTCTTTTGTGTTCAGCACAAGAAAGAAATTAATACAGGTTTGGGACAACATGTGAGTGAGTAAATAATGACAGAAACTAATTTTAGGGTGAACTATCCTTAATGACAGTTGGCTGCATGTTTAATACTGTCCCTTTAAGACCTGCATGCGTCTAATATACAAGCACAAATCCGTTTTTCTCTCAACTGTTTACTTTCATTTTAGACATAACCAACTGAGTCTATATGTAAACCTTGTGTGTTTTGACAGTATTATCGCAAAAGATAACTTAGTTCAGTAATCAGGCACTGTCTGCCAGGCTTTTTAGTGCGAATGAAACATTTAACCGGCAAGGCTTTAAAGCATATGCAAATAATGTACTTTTGTGATTGCGAATAAGTGCAGTGTCCTGTGAGAGTAACTCTACCGCTGAGTTAACACTGATGTGAACGCATGTGGCGTTGTACAGTATATGACGGAGGCGCCAGAACTGCTATTGATAGAATGTGCGCCGTAGCACAATAATACGATATTTCTTCAAAAGCAGATCGTGGAGACATTTTTATCATCCACGATCAAAAATCGTCATATCGCACACCCCTACACCTATCTGAAGCCTTCTCTTCTCACTCTCTAGTGATTCAGCGCGAGTCTCAGTCAGCAATTTGGGAGCGTAAACACTTTCTCCAATTGGCAGGGCTTGCAGAGACACCTGTCTCACCACCCATATGTTCTCTTTGCCATGGTCAAGAGAAACAGAAAGAGGGGAGGAATCATAGAAACACTCAAGAGAAAGAGAAACAATTTCAACTTAATTTTTCTTGCATACACATATATACATAAAAAGGAAACAAAAAAAGTGGACAAATAAACAGAAATATTACAGAAATAATACACACAAATAGGCTACTACCATTCACCGGGAATACAATTATTTTTTTATTTTTTTTAATAATCAAAAATCCAGTAAAAGCAGGAATGTTGTGAAATATTATTACAACTGTTTTCTTTTTGAATAGGCCAACATTTTAAATTGTGCTGGCAAAGCCGAATTTTCAGCCATTACTCCAGTCTTTAGTGTTACATGATGTTTCAGAAATCATTCTAATATGCTGATTTGATGCTCAAGAAATATTTCTTATTATTATCAAGGTTGAAACCTGCTGTGCTGCATAATAATTTTCGCAGAAACTGTGACTTTTTTCAGGTTTACTTGAACAGAATGTTAAAAAAAACAGCAATTCTTTGAAATAGAAGTCTATACTTACAACACAAAATGTCTTTAAGGTCACTTTTGATTAATTTAATGCATTCTTGCTGAATAAAATATACATTTCTTTAAAAACGTTTACACATTTTGAATGGTATTGTACCTACATGTTTTCCAAGATATACATTCCACCCCTGCTATCAAGTTGAATAGCCCAACTTTAGTCCAGAGATCTTAAAAACACTGTCAATATCATGTCTTGCATAAGAAACGGTTTCAATCAGTGTCAGGTGAGCCTGAAATCAGTAGAATTACACCAGTTAAATGAAGAATTCAGACAGATTTGTCAACTAGTTGTCTGGCAAAGCAACCCACTAGTAGTTTTGCACATCCCCTAGAAGAAATAGATTATGAATGAAATCGAAAAACCTAATTGGTGTGAAAAAACAACATGGAAAGTTGTGTTAAACGTGTAATTCCGTTTATGTCCTTTATGTTCACATGTACATGCAGAAGTCATGTCAGAAAGGCGTTGCGCCACTGCTATGCGAACCA